AGCGCCACCGCACTTCCCAAGCGGCGCACTATAGCAGTGCGCCACTGGGCCGGCCCATAGTTTTCATGCTTTTTCTTTTTTTTTTTCCTTTTTGTCTTTTTTCGTGACCAGCAACGGATCGCAACCCTCAGTGTCGCGCCCATACTGGACCGGGACCGGCAAAGGGATCACAACCCGTGTTGCTCCCGCACCTCGCTCAGCCAGTGAGCGGCCGGTCTGTATGTGGGATCTGAACCCTCGGCGGGAGCGCCACCGCACTTCCCAAGCGGCGCACTATAGCAGTGCGCCACTGGGCCGGCCCATAGTTTTCATGCTTTTTCTTTTTTTTTTTCCTTTTTGTCTTTTTTCGTGACCAGCAACGGATCGCAACCCTCAGTGTCGCGCCCATACTGGACCGGGACCGGCAAAGGGATCACAACCCGTGTTGCTCCCGCACCTCGCTCAGCCAGTGAGCGGCCGGTCTGTATGTGGGATCCGAACCCTCGGCGGAAGCGCCTCCGCGCTCCCAAGCGGCGCACTGCAGCAGTGCGCCACTGGGCCGGCCCCAAAGCTTCTTGAAAGAGTTGTTGAGATAATCTGTCTTCTCTTCCTCTTCTCCCATTTTCGTCTGGCTTTATCCTTATTGTTTCACTAAAGCTCTTGTCAAGGTCAAAAAAGACCATGTTTCCATCCTCATCTTATTGATTCTATCAGAGTTACAGATTTTTTCCAACTTTACTTCCTACTTCTATTTGATGATAATTCCCCAATTTTCAACTCCAGCTGAGGTCATTCTTCCAAGCTCTAGAGTTACTTTCAACCACCTACTCAGTGTCTCTCCTTCAGTGTCTCTTAGCCATCTCAATCTTCAGATAACCAAAATATGAAATATTTTGATGAACTGCTTAATTGTTGGATTTTATTTTTTAAGTTGTATAATTTATTTTCTTGCAGAATAAAATATAATATTAAAACAAACAAGTAACCAAAATAGAACTCCTGGTATTCTCTTATAGATCCGTTCTCATCCCTCTATATCTCTCTAAATGTATTCTTTGCTTAAGCCAAAAATCTGGGAGTTATCTATGTTTCTTCTCTTTTCTTTTCCCTCATATCTAACTTATCAGCTAGCCCCGTTAGTTTTACCTCCAACATATATCTCAACTCTATCCACTTTTTGCCATCTCCACTGCCACCGGTCATGCTTGGATTGTTGCAAAGGCCTCCTGCCTCTACTCCCTGCTTCTGTTCTTGCCCCCCCATCTCATCTCTCTACAGCACATCAGATTACCCCCCTATCTTCCATGGCTTTCTGGTGCCCTCCAGAGAAAATCATACTCCTTATCAAGGACTGCATGGCCCTATCCGATCTGGCCTTCAACCTCAGCCTATGACATCTTAAGTTCCAAGAAAATTTCAAGCTCTTTTTCCTTTTTCCACTTCAGGCCTTTGAGTATGTTCCCTCTTAGTTCCTCAACTCTGGATGGGCTTCTTCCTCGTCAGGTCCACCTTCCTCAGATGGCCTTGACTACAAGGGTACTTCAAAAAGTTCATGGAAAAATAGAATTAAAAAGTAATACAGGGCTGGCCCGTGGCTCACATGGGAGAGTGAGGTGCTGACAACACCAAGGCCACGGGTTTGGATCCCTATATAGGGATGGTTGGTTAGCTCACTTGGGAGAGCATGGTGCTGACAACACCAAGTCAAGGGTTAAGATCCCCTTACCGGTCATCTTTGAAAAAAAAAAAGTAATGCAAATCTTTCCATGAACTTTTTGAAATACCCTCATAGTTAAGGGAGCTGTCCACACCTGTTTTTTTCTATCCTGACTCCTTATTTACTTACTTCAGAATACTTGGAAAAGTGGGGGCTGCTCTTTTCACTTAGTGGCTGCTTCCTTCACTAGAGGGTGAGCTCCAGAGGAGCTGAGTGGATTTTAAGTGGTTTATTCCTGTTGCTTAGCATAATGGCTGGCAAACGGTGGTTACTCAACAAATGTTTATTGAATGAAAGAGTGAATGAATGAATACATATTTTCCCATATCATATTTCTGATGGGTACATAGTATTCCATTATACAAATGTGACCTGATTTACTTAACCGCTGCCCTAATGTTGGACATGTTTGTTTCCAATTTTTCACTACACTGAAACATGGAAAGTAATCTACATAGTTATTGAGAACATTCTTGACTGAACTATGAATGATCATGCAGGCATTTAAAATCCTGTGAAGCATTTTTATTAACATTGGGCAATGAGTAAGTTAAGGGAAAAAATGCATAATACAAAATTATATGTACAGCATGATCTTATGTAAAAGTACATAGAAAAAGTAGGAAATAAAATGTTAATTATGCATTTCAAGTTGGCAGGATTACAGATAATTCTTCCTTTTGTTCGTTTTTAAGTACACAAGTAATACAGGTACATGGTATTTTTTTCTTTATATATTTCTTTGTTTTCAAGTTTACTGCAGCAAGTTTTTGTTTTTGTTTTTGTTTTTTTAATAATCAGAAGAAAAGTTCTTAAAAACTTTAGAACAATTTCATGACACATCAGATTATTGAAGATAGTCAAAATCAGATTTAGGAACCACCATGCTCTAGAGAATGACCTAAATGTTTGAAGTACACTTGCTAATGACAGCTATTGCCCTTTGGGTTGTTCCAGGCTGTGTGTTGCCTGGGTTTACAGAGTGGCAAGGGTGATCTTTCCTATAAGGCCTCTGTGGCTGGTTGGATGTGTGTGTGGTTGTGGTAGTGTAGAAACTGGGGCTTTCCAGAATGGTGATTTAGGGACGAGAGTGTTCCACAGATGTGCTCAGTGTTGGGAAGATATCACAACTGTCCTCACATCTGTATTTGGAGTTTGAGGGAGGCTCATGTGGCCTGAGACATTGTCACAGCCTTTTATTAAAACTTAAGGCAGTGGTTCTCAAATCCAAAGCCCTTGTGGGGGTTCATGAGGTCAGAGGTGTCTTCATACTAAGACTAAGATGTCATTTGCCACTTTCACCCGCATTCTGTCATGAGGGCACAATGCAGTTCCCAGATGCTATGTAATTCCTGACAGATTGACTGCAGAAGCGCCTAGGGCAATCCAGCCATCTTCCATGCAGCCAGACAGCAAGGAGGGTGGCAAAAATGTAAAACAATGCCAAAATTCTCTGTAAATTTTTTTATTGTGGAAAATATAGTTATCAATAGATATTTACCCTCATAAGCAGACTCTTTTTGGGGTCTTCAATTATTAAGAGTGTAAAGAAGTCCTGAGACCAAAAAGTTTGAGAATTACTGAATTATGGAGACAGGAAGAGAACTCTCTTTATGGTGGGTCGATTATGGCTCAGTAAACAGATTAGTAGAATCGCGTGACTCAAGACAACAAAGCCTAACAGGGAAATAACCTAGTCTAACAGGCAGGTGTGGAAGTCCTGAAATTACATGAAATTTATTCTTTTTTCCTTCCTTCCTCCTTTTTTTAGAAATCATGCATGATGTGATAAAGAAAGTCAAGAAGAAGGGGGAGTGGAAGGTAAGTAGAAGAGTATAATTCATGGCTTAAAGGTGAGTTCATGTGGGGAAAATAAGAATGGGGTGGAGTTGGAGGAAAGGTTTAGGCAGGATTGAGGGCTTTTACTGTGTCCAGAGAGTACAAAGAACTCCTGGATGGGAGAAAGGAATCTGTGATCTTGGTTAAGAAATCTCTTAGTCATAAAGCTTATCTTACAAATCATCTGGTCAGGCAGTTAGCAGTGGAAATCTTTTGTTCAAACAAAATCTTACCTGGAACTTATTAGACAAAGCAGAAGAAGGTGTAATTATTCTGCTTACCATGGGAGAGGAAAAAGAGACCCTTCTTGCCCCCTTGGTAGCCATAAAACGTCTCCACAGACTCCACAAAACAGTTTGAAAAGTCCTCATCTGGTCTGTCCCCATCTATCTTCAACTACATAAGGGACAGCAGCGAGCTTGTTTATTCATATAACATTGAAAGAGGGCTAGACTCTATAATGCATGTGAAACAAGTATTTAAGCCAATCAAATTGATTATGGCCTAAGTTCTCCAAGTGGGTGATGCAGGAGTGGCACATGCCATCCTTCATGTATGGAGTCAACCAGTTAAGGGTAGCTTGGTTGTTGTCTGGAGCTGGGCATTATACTGGGCAGAAGAGCCTGCAGTTTTACTGGAACTTCCCCACATGTTGTTGAATGGTTTTTACCAACCATTCTTGCCCTCGAGTTTTCCTGCAGTCAGGAGCCCACACGTTTTCAAGTTCATTGGGCCTGGGATCAACAGAGCTGATTGGCACAAGAGGATTTTGAAGTCTCACCTCCGGCCTTGTGAGATTATGTTTTAGCCAGCACATTCATCCTCACCACCCAGAAGGGGATGTCATCTGGTGGGAACTCTATGCATGTCTTTCTCACTTACCTTTCCCATCACTACTGGATTTGTAGACTTGTGAATTTTAAACTAATCTTGAGGAAACTGTCTCGTAAAATGGAAACTAACTTGCCTTGCACTGCAGCAGAGAGCTTTCTGTCTGCCCTGACGTGCCTAGCTCCTGTTGCCTTCTCCTCAGTTTATATCATTAAAGGAGAAGAGAAATAGCCTTGTCCTAACTGCTGGCTTCCTCTCTCCACTGGGGGCTGAAAGGAGATAGGAAAGGTTAGTTGAAGGATTGCAGGTGTGTAACTTTTACACCAGGGCTGGAATGTTCTTGTTCTTCCAGTCTGAACTGAGGAATGCTGTGATCCCAGAAGATGTGTGTACTGGTGAAGGTACAAATCCTGATGACATCTGCACAAAGTCCTCATGTGCCATACCACCTGTGTGGGCACTAGTATTCACTCTACTTTTTTTTTTTTTTTTTGTCTTTTTTCGTGTCCGGCAACGGATCGCAACCCTCAGTGTCGCGCCCGTACTGGACGGGGACAGGCAACGGGATCGCAACCCTCGGTGTCGCACCCGCACCTCGCTCAGCCAGTGAGCGGCCGGTCTGTATGTGGGATCCGAACCCTCAGCGGGAGCGCCGCCGCGCTCCCAAGCGGCACACTGTAGCAGTGCGCCACCGGGCCGGCCCTTCACTCTACTTTTGAAAACAAGTTTGTGCCCTGAAAAAATTCTCACTAGTTGATTATCTTTGAGTGTTGGCACCATAAATAATTTTTTTCTTTTTCTTTTCTTTTTTTTTTTTTGCACTTTTTATGAGTTACTTATTTTCTTTATCATGAAGAATAAAAACTTATTTTTTAAAGTTTACAAAATTGAGTGCAGTCAGTGAGAGGAAACTCAACTCCTAGAAGGTTAAGTTCGGGTGTGGGATGTAAAAGCAAGCATATGTATTCTACAGACTACACCAATTGTATGGTTAAGGCTAATTCATAACTAAAGCCAAAATGTTTCATTATTTTAGTTACACTAAGTTTTCCATTTGTATTATCAGGACTAGGACCCACAGACCCTTCAAACCCATTGTACAGACTGAGTCACAGACCCTCACATGCCAGGCTAGGTTGCCAGACCCCTCACATGTCTGGGATGGGTCACCAGACCCCTCACTCACAGGTCCACACTAGTAATTGGGAAAGATCTTGGGAGCCATTGACAGATGACACTATATGAGCTCAGTCCTCAGATTCCTCTGCAGTGACCTCAGAGCCTTTCAGAGGGTCCTGATGGCACTGGAAACAACAGCTTGCAGCAACAGCCTCCAGCAGTAGTAGCGGCCTTCCCATAGCCCCTAGGGGCATCGTGGGGGCAGGGGGCACTGTGGATCAGAGCCACTCGTCCTTTATACTGAAGTCCATAACCCAGGACACCTGGGTACACATGTGCAATTACATTAGACAATAACCAAGGAACACCTGGGCGCACGTGCATATTTACATCAAATGCTCGGCAAGATTCTGAACATCTGAGGGGCCTGACCATTTTCCTTCATTTTCCCTACACATATATCTCAGCAGACTTCTGGTCCACAGAAATTCTGCATTTTGGGTGCTCTTTTTGAAGTCTGGCACAGTAAGCTGATGAGAGAATCGCAGCCTATAAGCTGTTCTCTTTCCTTCCAGGTGTTGGTGGTGGACCAGTTGAGCATGAGGATGCTGTCTTCTTGCTGTAAGATGACAGACATCATGACCGAGGGGATCACAAGTGAGCATGACCTCCTCTCTGTGCTCGAGCAGTACCAGTGCCTTCTCTTTGTGGCGAGCTTTGCTCTTTCCTATTCACTATCATGTTGTTTGACTTTAGTTTCTTCCAACAACCTGTGCAATAAGACTGTCAGCTCCTGAGAGAGACCAAGGCTGTCCTGTTTATCACTGAATCCAGAGCACATAACCCAGTGCTGGACCCTCATAAGATATCTGTTATAGGAATGTCAAAAAAAAAAAAAGGTTAAGTCAAGGGAAAAAAGGCAGCCCACCCAACAGAATAAAGACCTGAAAAGACACTTAACAAAGGAAGAAATCCAAGTGGCCAATAAATGAAAGATGCACACCCTCATTAACGGTAGGGAAATATAATTCAAACCAGGGTGAGATAAGGTTACAGACTCACCAGATTAGAATATTTAAATTCAGATAATGACAAGTGACAGGATGTAGAAAAAGAACTCCTGCATAATGGAATGTTAGTCAGTACTACTTTGAAAAACACTTGGCAGTGTCCAGTGAAGTGGAAGGTATGTGGGTCTTAGGAGCCAGCAAGTCTATGGTTGCGTGTGTGCCCTAGACAACCTCAGGTATGCGTGCCCAGGATACATGTGCAGGGATGTTCATAGAGTGTTGTTCAGAGGAGCCCCACGTGGGAAACAACCAAAACGTCCATCAAGAGTACCTGGTGAAATAAATTGTGTATAGTCACACAGCAGAATGCTATACAGCAATCAAAACGGACGAACTCTGACTACTCACAGTAATGTGAATGCATCTGATAAACACAATGTTGAGCAAAAGAAGCAAGATACAAAAGAATACTTATCATATGCTTTCATTTATATAATACTTCCTTTTATATAATTTATATATGGTTCAAAACCAGGGCTGGCTGCTTAGCTCAGTTGGTTAGTGTTGTGCTGATAACACCAAGGTTCAGAGTTCCATCCCTGTACCAGCCAGCCTCAAAAAACAGAAACACCAGGCAGAACTAAAGCTATATTATTTTGGAATGCAGACATAGGTGGTAAAACCATAAAGAGAGTGCTCATTGTTCAAGTCAGAACAAAAAAAACCACGTAGAACTAAAGCTATATTATTTCGGAATGCATATAGAAGACAGGTGGTAAAACCATAGAATGCTCATAGTTCAAGTTCAAGTCAGGACAGTAGTTCTCTTTGGAGGAAAGGGAGGAAATTATGGTGAGGGAGGGGAGTGTGGGCTGGGGCAGGGGCACTTCTGCAGTGCCGGCTGGTTTCAAAGATCTACAACCACTGGTAAAGTAGATGGTTGAGGGATTTGGCATTGACTTGAACATTATTTGGTGTAAAAAGTCTATAAATACTACAAGGGCTACTTCTTTTTTTTTTCTTTCAAGATGACTGGTAAGGGGATCTTAACATTTGACTTGGTGTTGTCAGCACCACTCTCTGAAGTGAGCCAACCGGCCATCCCTATATAGGGATCTGAACCCGTGGTCTTGGTGTTATCAGCACCACACTCTCCCAAGTGAGCGACGGGCCGGCCCTACAGGGGCTACTTCTAAAATGATACTTACATCTGCTTACATCATCTGCACAGAAAGAATGGCATCTGTACAATTGTACTGCTCTCCTTACCAGAGAACAGCGCAGCATACATAACACTCCTTAAGCTTTATTGGGTGACTGGTAAGGTGGTGATTCTGCCCAAAGCTGTTCTTTTCCAGGTGAAGTGACTAACATAACTATAAAGGAAACAAGCAAACCAAAAGCCCATGGTTTGCTTTAACAAAATACATTTAATTTTCAAACTATTGAGAGGAACAGTATTATATAGAGGATATATTTGGAATGTCTTCATTTGATGTGCAGAAGAAAATGATAAAACTATTCAGTTGTTAATAGATAAATCCAACATAGAAATTCTAAAGGAATTGGTATTAGTTAGGACAGATGAGAAAAAGCTGAAAGAAGAGGTGAAGGAACTATTCTTGAGAGAATGAGGTAGCATTTTCCGTTTTTTCTCAGAGCAGATCAAGGAATTTGCTTAAACTGAAATGGAAAGTGGTAAATATTCAGTGTGATAAGATTTCAGGTTTTCTAACATCTTGAATGTGCTGAGACAGTGGAATTCACTCAGAAGGAATGTGGTAACTTTAAGGAAGGGGTGAATGATTCTCCCCCCTGCTGTAGATTTTATCAGTGCCAGTCTGAAGGTGGCCTGTCTGTAATGCTTCTACTTTTATGATCACCAATCATGTTTTCTTATTCACTGGGGGCTGTTTTGTTGTCTAGTTGTGGAAGATATCAACAAGCGCAGGGAACCACTCCCGAGCCTGGAGGCAGTGTATCTCATCACTCCATCTGAGAAGGTAAATCCTCCACCAGAGGGGAGCTTGGGCTAAGGTTAGACCTGCTGGCTTGCAATCTATGTGGCACAGACTGTCTGACATTTCTAGGTTAAGCACGCATTTAACACACTGCTCTGTTTAAGCATGCAATCCACAAACAGCAGCAGGGGCGGGTGTGCGGTGGTTATGCAGTGAGAAGTGAAGAGCGTATTAAGTTTTCTGAAATATATCAGCTGTGCAGAAAGCCAGAGCTAGCGTTCTATGGCCCTGGATCATTCACATTTTCCCCATTGTACTCCCTCTCTGGGTAGAGGATCCACATGTAAAATTAGCAATCCACCTCCGGACTTTGGTATTTTATGCCTTTAGGTTTATTTCATCAGTATCCAGTTAGTGTTCAAATTTACCTGTCTTATAATTTTGGGGGGTTGGTTCAAATCAGCATCCAATTAAGGTCCACCTCCTTGCTTTTGGGTGATAGTTGTCTTAGGTCTCTTAATCTATATAAATTTCTTCCAATTTTCATATGTTCTTTTCACTTTTGAAAATTGGCTTACACATGAGTTTCTGTAGATGCAACTAAATTGCCAGAATTTCATCAATACGACTCTCTTGGGAAGTTTCTGAGGATTTCCCCTTTTTGAGGGTCTCTTCGTAGGAACCCATTATGTTGGCTCCACAGAACTGACGCTGTCATTCCCGAATGAACTAAGAAGGCCTGTGTTCATCTGAACTCTGGAAAACCCTAATTTTAAGTTCTCAGGACTTGGTTATGGCCGAACATGAGTGTTAGAATTATTATTATTATTATTATTATTATTTTATTTTATTTTTTTTTAAAGATGACCGGTAAGGGGATCTTAACCCTTGCCTTGGTGTTGTCAGCACCACGCTCAGCAGTGAGCTAACCGGCCATCCCTATATGGGATCCGAACCCGTGGCCTTGGTGTTATCAGCACCACACTCTCCCGAGTGAGCCACGGGCCGGCCCCGAGTGTTAGAATTATATGTCAAAAATCCCCTGCTGTTTTGTGCAAGTAGCTTAAAACCAGATTGGAGTAAACTTGTTTCAGACATTTGCTTCAAGAATTGGATTCAGTTCCCTGTTTTTTCCCCTGCCCATAGTCTGTGCACTCTCTCATCAATGACTTTAAGGACCCACCGACTGCTAAGTATCGGGCTGCGCATGTCTTCTTCACTGACTGTAAGTACAGCTGTGAGCTGCTCCCCCTGCTGGGCCAGAGTAGCACTTCTGCATGGTTAGGCTGAGCCAAAGACACATCAGGTCTATGGGAGAGGAATGGGTTTGTTACCATGCTTGTCCTGATCTTTTATTTTCTCTTCAGAAGATAAATCGCATAAGAGACAAAATAATGCATACAAATGCAAACCTTCTAGACCATGTGGTCCTTCTTGATGAAAATAGCATACCGCACACCTCTTCTAAGGACTAAGGGCCTGAGAATTTTCCTAATGTCAGCCTTGGTGTTTTATCATATAGACTTCCAGATATCACTATAAACTGTCGTCTATTTCCATTAGTTTTTCAGCTACGAAGATATTCCAATCCAGTGGTCTTTATATTAGATAGAACCTGCATCATCACCCTGGAATTAGTTTTCTTATTTTGTGAGAGTTTTGTGCATGCGTCCTAGTGCAGAAGCAAAGGCAGATGAGTAGCCCTGGATAGCTACAGAGCTGAAACAAGAATTCACCTAGTGTTTTGCTTTCTATGGAAAAGCCCCACAAAACTCACCACTGAGAAAATGGAAAGGGTATATAGCAAAGAATAATTTTATAGCATTTGAATATGAGTGACAGAGCAGCTACACAGCATTGGTAATAATAAACAATAACGCATTTCTGGGAACCTGAAGCCTTTGTTTGGCCCAGGAGAGTCACTAGAAATCATGATTCCCTCACCAGGTGGACCTTCTGTGGTGCTGAGCTCCTTAGAGGTTCTGGGAGAAATGCCTGTATCACATTTTCCAATGATTTTATTTTTATTTCTTACTTTACTTATCATTAGGATATTAGATGTGTGGTGTTTGTCTCTCTTAAACGCCTTTTTCTTATCCTTAATCTTTTGGTTTTTTTCCTTCCTTGCTATCAGAAAATAATTTTTATTAGTTCTCAGTATCTCAATCTTTATTGCCCTTTGTTTCTCTGTTATATGTTGAGGGCCTTGCAGATGGTTTTACATTCCTTTTATACCCTGGAGGTATTGGATATTTTAGAATGGGATGAACTTTCTAGTTCCCTTTTAAAAATCCTAATAAAACAAAGAATCCACTGGGCATGTGCAGCTGTGAAATGGACCAACAAATGGACTGGAATGTTGACATCTTTTGTCATTCTTGCAGCTTGTCCAGATGCCCTGTTTAATGAGCTGGTAAAATCTCGAGCAGCTAAAGTCATCAAAACTCTGACGGAAATCAATATTGCATTTCTGCCGTATGAATCCCAGGTGAGGCTGAGTAGGGAGTGCTTAGAACATCTGCATCCTAGTTATTATCTCAGGAACTCTGAGAGGGTGGGGCGGGGTGTAATAAAGAGAGTGGGGAGGGAAGGTATATTCTGAATTGCCAGATGATGGGTTATAAGTGGATGTTTGTTTAATGGAAATAGTATTCTGTAGGTTCTGCCCAGTGCCCTTATCTTACTCTCCAGTTATTTCTGACTTTTTATCAGCCATTGTGCCTTTCTTTATGTGCATTTCATCATTGCTCACAGCATTCACGCCTATCGGCTGACTCCTTGAATAACTAAAAAGTAGCCAATCCAAAATGAGCACGGAAGAAGAGGAGGGAAAGGGATCAGAAGCATCCCATCTGCTGCACAGGAGACTTTAGGAGATAACCTTAGCTTGTCATGTGCTGAAGGAACAGATGGTAGCCTTCGTCATTAGCCCTTAACACTTCAAGTGCCAGATGCCATGGCAGCAAACGTCTCTCCTTGGAAAAAACAAAGTTGTTAAACCAGTAAAGGTGAAGCTGATTGTGAGAGAATATACAAAATTTATCTTAGTATTTTAAGGTTTGTTAAAATGTCTCCTCCTAGCAAACGAACAAAAACAACAGGACTTTTATGCATTTTATGGAGATAAAAGATGATTGGGGTATACTGGATCTTTATATATCAGCCTCTAGACACCAGATTCTCAGACAAAGAGGGATGGTAGAAACATAGTGCGCACATTTAAAGACAGTCTCTTTTTCTTCTCACTTGGCCTAAAGCCTATTTTCTGCTTGAGGGCAGGAAGTTTCTTTTCTCTGTGTGAGTCCAGCTGCCACCTGGATGGGACAAAATCCAGCTTTAGCATACTAAACCATAGTATGTTTCAGAAATTTTTAAGAAAGTAATAAATTTTTTAGAAATATCTCAGGTTTTTTAGAAGATCAAGGTAGTTTATATAAATGAGAACTTGAGATAATACCAATAGCTGGTAGACTCTGTAGTTTAAAAGGGAATTTTGAACTTCCAGAACCATCCCCCAAAAAAGAAGAAAACTACTACTGAGGATAGGGTATTATTAAATCCTTAAAAATCTCCTTTATTTGGTACATCTACACAATGGAATACTACTCTGCTATAAAAAAGAATGAAATACTACCATTTGCAACAACATGGATGGACTTAGAGAAAATTATATTAAGTGAAACAAGTCAGGCACAGAAAGAGAAATACTACATGTTCTCACTTATTTGTGGGAACTAAAAATTAATAAATAATAAACACACAAACAAATAAAGGGTGGGGGTGGGGGGAAGAAGACAAAATAAACACAAAAATTCCTTGAACTATTTAAGTCAAGTGCACAGATACAATGTGGGGGGGAGAGGACTGGGGGGTGAGGAACGGGTAAAGGGGCATGAAAATCAAGTACAATGTATTTTGAGGAGTAAAATAAAATAAAATTAAATTTTTAAAAAAAACTCCTTTATTTGCCCACAGTCACAGCATAAATTTCTTGCTTTTCCCTTGTTTATTAAGACTAAACTTATAATGGCCTGTGAGGTCTAACACTAACCTCTCTCCTGCTTTCCTGACCTCATCACTGTATATCAGACACCCTAGGCACGTGCCTCCCTGAGGTAGGTCCTGGGCACCACTCCCTCCACGTGGAAGTCCCCTGCTGGTGACAAACAACTTACCTCCTTCAAGCTCTTCTCAGACGTCACCCTCTCAACAAGTCCTCATGTCCTCCTGTCTGGGCTTCCCGAGCATTCTTTCCCTGCTCTATTATTTTCTTATATACGTCCCAGTTTCTCAATACCGTATAATTTACTTTTCATTGTGTTTATTGTCAGCCTGCCCCTACTAGATTGCATACTCCTTCAGGACAGGGATGTTTTGGTTGTTAATAGTTCCTGGCACATGGTAGGCAGCCAGCATAGTCAAGGTACTTCAAAAGGTTCATGGAAAAATAGAATTAAAAGACAATACAAATCTTTCTATGACGGTTTTGAAGTACCCTCATATTTGTAGAATAAATGAAGTCGTGTTCTGTAGACTCACTACCAAGGTTAGAGAATAACTGACAGTTTACTATGCTGGATGCAAACACCACTTATATTTTTTCCTCCTCAGGTGTATTCCTTGGACTCTGCTGACTCATTCCAAAGCTTCTACAGTCCCCACAAGGCTCAGATGAAGAATCCTATACTGGAGCGTCTGGCAGAGCAGATTGCAACTCTGTGTGCCACCCTGAAGGAGTACCCAGCTGTGCGGTATCGGGGGTAAGGCAGCCTGAAGTGGCATCCCCTGTGTCCGCTGGGCAAGGAACCATTCCTGACTCTTTGTCTGGCCTTAAGGTTCCTCTGGCCGTGGTCTCAAGAGGGTCAAAATTTGGGCATCTCTCACTTAATGATTCTTCCAATGCTTTTGTTATCTTTTAAATTTCATTGTGAAACAATACATACAGAAAAGAGCATAAGATATATATATTTAGTTATTGAATAACTAAAATGTGAATCCCTATGTAACTTCAACCCAGATTTCCTGCAATTTTTGATGTCTTTCTTTTTTGGGGGGGGGGCAGCTGGCCTATAGGGGATCTTAACCCTTGACCTTGGTGTTATTAGCACCATGCTCTAACCAAGTGAGCTAACCAGTCAACCCTTTCTAACCTTTAAAAGCAAATTCATCATTGCAAAAAATGTTTCAGAGTAAGATAAAATACAAGCAGAATAATTCTCCAAAGGACGTATTTCTCAGATTTTATAAAGCTATTCACTCATCACCTACTTGCTATGCATTGAGTGCTGGGGTCTTAAAGCTGAAGAAGATACAGCCCCTGCCTTTAGAAACCCCTGAACTGGGAGGGTAGGTAAGAAGTGCGTTCCAACATGTGTCCATAAGATATGCACACCTGTAGTACAGAACCTGCGAGACAGTACAAGCCACGTGCTTGGGGCATCCAGAGCAGGGAGAGGGCCCTTCAAGCTGAGGATGAAGAATGGCTTCAGACTAGAGGTGATGTTTGAGCTGGGTCTTGAAGGGCAGGTTCAGATTTCAATAGACTGATGAGGAGGGAGGGGAGGGCATTTTGTGTGGTCGTTGGCTCATGCCATTGGTATAAGCAGAAGCTTGGAGTTGGGAATACAAAGTGCAAGTTTGGAGAGGATTGGTGGTCTGGCACAGTGTACATGTAGGGCAGTGGAACGAGATAAAGCCATTTCTGGAGCTCTCGAGTGCCATGTTTGGAATTATGTTCTCCAGTGGTTTTCACTGGGAAACCTCTGGGGCATTTGGACAGGGGAGTGGATGCAGTGCTCTGGAGGCATGAAGGTAGGAGTGTGAGCAGGATCAGGGCAGGGAGAGACCAGGAGGGGGAGGCGAAGCAGGAGGCCACTGCAAGAGGAGCGAAGGGCCTGGCCTTGGAGTGATGGGAATGGGACAGACAGGTAAGGACGGAATCTGAGAGTGCCGAGGTAGACTTGGTGCCACTTGGAACTGTTAACAAATAGGGGTAGGGCAGGAAGGAGTTTCGGCTGCTGAGGGATTGAGCTATGGTAACTGAGAACAGGCAGTGCCAAGGACCATATGCTACATCTGTCCTTGTTGCTGGATTGTCTGCTGGAACCTGTGGCCATAGAAAAACACCTTTCTTGTTGCTGCCCCAGTGCCTGGCTCTCTCCATTGTCTATCCTCAGTAACAGAATCATCGTGGAAGTTAAGAAATGGGGGCTAGGCTATACCCCCCGACAGAGTAGTGGGAACTTGGGCTGAGGATGGAGCTGCCATAGCGCTGAGGTTGGTGAGGTGTGGGTAGCTGCCACACAGTTGATAAAGCCAGCTAGAGCCAGGAAGTGCTGTCAGACTCAGCCAAGGGGAAAGGTTCAAAGGTTCTCACTTATGTCCTTCTGACTGAAATGTCACTCTGCCACAAAACAAAACAAGACCTGCGGGAATTGAATCGAGGGAAGTGAGGAGCATATGGGTCAGTCTTAGACAGCCTGATCATGGGAACAGGATGATGGGCGGGCCCTCTGCTGAAGTGTGGTTGTTTATTTGAAGCTGCCTGGAGAGACTACTTCTGTTTCCATTTAGACAGTTTAAAAAAAAAAGAAAAGGAACAGGAAAGTCACTTCTTTATGTTCCAGGCACTGAATTAAGTATTTTATTTTACTTTTACTCTTTAATTATACATGTAATATATGAATATATTCTCACTGTAAAAAAAAATAAAAATACAGTACTGGCCAGCCACCAAAAAAAAAAAAAAAACTAGTACAGACCATGCTCATGTCTTCTGTGAGCCTCCCTACACTGTCCTGCTTCCTTTCCTGGGGGCAATTGGCATCATCATTTAGACACACAGGCAATTCACCCTCTGTCACTGCTCCTTTGTAGGGAATACAAGGACAATGCCTTGCTGGCTCAGCTAATCCAGGACAAGCTTGATGCCTATAAAGCTGATGACCCAACAATGGGGGAGGTGAGTCTGGCTTGGACCACGCAGTTCTCTTACGAGGACCACAATATTTGTGTGACAGTCTGGGACAGCTCGGTTCTGTTGCTCACAGGCCATGTGTGAGTGCTGCTTTTCCTGCATATTGGCCTCCAGTGAAATGTCCGAAGCCCTTGGGGCAGGATGATGCAGATGTGTTCAATGTAGCCAGGGTGATTAACTTGTTTCTGTTTGACGGGACTTTCCCAGTTTCAGCACTGAGCGTCCTATATTCTGGGAAACCTCCAGTAGTACAATAATAAGACCAGAAAATTGACATTGGTACAATCTCTGGACCTCATTCAGATCTCACTGGATTTTACATGTACTGTGTGTGTACAGTTCTTTGCAACTTGATACATGTATAGATTCACGTACTCACCACTACAAGCAATTTTAAAACCGAAAGTCCTGGGTGCTGGGAACCCCCTTCAGTCCCAGGCACACTGGGTGGTTGGCCACCCCACCTGTAGCTGAGCCTGGGCTACATAAACTCACTTCAGCCCCTAGTGCAGTTTCAGATCTGCTTCCAAGGGCCCTCATTATGAAATGGAAACATTGGAGTCTCACATGGTAGTTACTGGCGTTCTTGTCAAGCAGCAGGTAGACTACTCAGTGCTGTTTTAGTAGGTTTGCACTTCAGAGTTCACCTCCTTTTATAAGAGGGGTTCTGCTAGTTGGAGAAGCTGGAGTTGTCTGGCAGCTTGTGAAGCATCTCCCTGTTTGTTCTCAGGGCCCAGACAAGGCGCGCTCCCAGCTCCTGATCCTGGACCGTGGCTTTGACCCCAGCTCCCCTGTGCTCCATGAACTGACTTTTCAGGCTATGAGTTATGATCTGCTGCCTATTGAAAATGATGTGTACAAGTAAGTGTAATGTTACAGACCCTGGAGTGACTGCAGCTTTGCAAATGAACCAAACATACCTTTAAATTAAGAAGAAGGATGTTTCTAGTCCTAGGAAAAATGGCTGTATTGATACAGTCTTGCAGAAAAAGCCTGTACGCTTTTCTGTGAGTTCCCAAATCCATGTGACATTTCTAGGAGGGAACTCGTGCCCCTTCTTGGATAGAACAAGAACTTTAGTTCACAGCTCACATCACCTCAGCTCATAGCCTGCCTGGATATTTTATTTTATTTTATTTTATTTATTTTTCCTTTTTGTCTTTTTTCGTGTCCGGCAATGGATTGCAACCCTCAGTGTCGCGCCCGTACCGGACCGGGACCGGCAACGGGATCGCAACCCTCGGTGTTGCTCCCACACCTCGCTCAGCCAGTGAGCGGGAACCAGTCTGTATGTGGGATCCGAACCCTCGGCGGGAGCGCCACCGCGCTCTCAAGCGGCGCACTGTAGCAGTGCGCCACCGGGCCGGCCCCTGCCTGGATATTTTAATATGTTGATTTATGAGAGAGAGAGAGAGAGAGAGAGTGAGTGTGTGTGTGTGTGTGTGTGTGTTATTCAGCATTGAAATTTCTTAATTATAGATGATGAAATATGATGATAAAATATACCAACAGGAGTTTCTTACTGACTTTCTTTGCAAAGAAACTATTTTCTTCATTGTAAAAACAAAACAAAACCCTTTTCTTGGTAGCAATCATTAGAAACTCAGTTTCTAAAAGCCAGTTTTCTTTTTATGAAAACAGACAGAACTGTTCTTGTGTCATTTATTTTATAACTTGATCATAAAAATAATGGCTTCAAAATGAAGATTCTAAAAACTTGAGTGAATCTCAGCTCTTCTGCCTTCTGGCACCTGTAAATAGCTCCCTCCAGCTGTTCATGATTTCACATGTAGCAATATGCTGAAGGCCTGTTGCAGGAAGCTGCAGGAAGCTATTTAGGGACCCCACATTTGAGGAAGGTATTCCAGTCCTTTCCCAGAGGGGACAAATAAGAGCTTTGCCTTTCCTCTGTAAGTAACTCTAAGCCCACATGTAACCCGATTCATGCCCTGAACCAGGTAGCTCAGGGAGAGCTCATATCAGCTGACCCTGAAGATTTTTAAATAAAATTTCAAGTTTGTTGACTCTGATTAGAGCTTTGAGTATCTCCCTGCCCCAGGGATTGCACCTGTGTTGGTGCTGTTGCAGCAGACCTGACCGACACAGGAAGATGGTCGGGAGCTTGCTGTGACATCACCCACAAAAGCATCTGGCCACTGAAGACTGAGCTGCTGTCATAAAAACCCAGAGGGGGTCCGGTGAATGTTGTGGGGACAGCATGCTCCACCTGAACTCCATCTCCTCTCTAGGTATGAGACAAGCGGCATTGGGGAGGCACGGATTAAGGAGGTGCTCCTGGATGAGGATGACGACCTGTGGATAGCGCTGCGCCACAAGCACATTGCAGAGGTGTCCCAGTAAGAGCCCTTCCTCTGCCTTTTCCAGGGCCAGGCACTTCTCCCTGATTGCTGTGGATGATCAGCGCTCTCTGGGCAGCTTTGGAGGAGCTCATCAGCAGTGGAATTTGGTGCCTTGGCAAAGTCCCTGATATGGTCACTGATAACGATAAATCCCTTCTCTCTTTGGGCTTGACTACTCCACCTTCACAAAGATAGAAAATCTGTATTAGGGTTGCTTTTTGGATTCTTGGAAAGCATTTGTTGCTCTCTCAGAATATTTTATAAACATTTAACTTTTAAAGCCATTTCATACCATTGAAAGATCCCAGACACCACTGTATACAATTCAACTTTCTTTTTTATAGCTGGTATTCAATCTTCCCTGTTATTTTACCGACAGTTTCTAAGCAAGAACTGATGTTTATATATTGAACTATATACCTTGTTCTAAAATGTTTCAGAATGAAAGTGCTTCAGAATGTTTCAAATGTTTAAACTTTGCTGTAAGACCTTTCAGCTGCAGATAACAATTTTGCTTTTTCAGAAAGACACATTCTGCTACTTTGAGTTGCTGATAGCCTCAGGAAATTCACGTGGAAGAGTGAGAAAGTACTATCTAGCCTTGGATAGTTCTTTTGTTTAGAGAAGTGGTCTCCAAACTTTTTTCATCACTAAACTTAAAAAAAATCCCACGTTTCCAGAAATTAAATGTATTTATGAATTAGATATATGCTTTATTGTACTAATATGTGTATTTTACAACATACATATGATTGTGTATTTTTCTTTCTTTCTTTTTTTTTTTTATAAAAGATGACCGGTAAGGGGATCTTAACCCTTGACTCGGTGTTGTCAGCACCAAGCTCCCCCAGTGAGCTAACCGGCCATCCCTATATGGGATCCGAACCCGTGGCCTTGGTGTTATCAGCACCACACTCTCCCGAGTGAGCCACGGGCCGGCCCCTGATTGTGTATTTTTCAAACAAACTATGTATGTTTCATTATGTATATTCAAACATATATTTGAAAAGGATGAGGTAAAATAAACATAAATGGATGTTTTAACATTTTCTTCTCTTTTCCCCTTGAGTCATCTGGCACTTTCCACTCTGGAGACCACTGATTCAGAATATTAATTAGAAAAACGATGTGTCTTTCTTCACTTAGAAATCACTTTAAATGCATACCTTACTGGTATAAACAATAAATGGTTAAAGCCATTTCATACCGTTGAAAGATCCCAGACACCACTTTATACAATTCGACTTTCTTTTTTTTTTTTCCTTTTTGTCTTTTTTCGTGACCGGTAATGGGATCGTAACCCTCGG